CGATCTCCTGACCTCGTGATCCGCCCGTCTCGGCCTCCCAAAGTGCTGGGATTACAGGCTTGAGCCACCGCGCCCGGCCTATCCTTAGCAAATTAACTCGAACAGAAAATCAAATACCATATGTTCTTGCTTACAAGTGGGAGCTAAATGATGAGAACACAGGGACACAGAGAGGGGAACAGCACACACTGGGGTTTATCGGAGGGGGAGGATGGGAAGAGGGAGAGGATCGGGAAACATAACTAATGGGTACTAGGCTTAATATTTGGGTCATGAAATAACCTGTACAAAAAAAAACACCTAACACAAGTTTATCTATGTAACAAACCTGCACATGTACTCCTGAACTTAAAAATTAAAAAATAAATAAATAAACAAACTTTTTCTGGTAATATTTTCTTGGGCTAAAAGGGAGGTCATTATGTTTGAATCAGAGGTCAGGATTATATATATTGCCAATATTCCTCTCCTATAAGCCTGCATTATGCAAAGGTGTAAATGGCTTAGAGTTCGCAATGCCTTTGACCTAGCAGTTCCATTTATAGGGATCTACCTCAGTGAAGCCATTGGACAGAGAAAGCTAAGGATGCTTAAACGAAACTGCACAAACAACCACACATCCCATAACAGAGAACTGGCTCAATACAAGGCTGACACTCTCTCTGGCTGGAAGGCTAAGCAATGTTTATCTTAATAACATAGATAGGGATTTGCTGACAGAAAAAAAGTTGTCCACAAAATACTGTTAAGAGGAAAAATCAGGTTGTAAGCCAGAATAAATAACACATCATTTGTTGTTGCTCTTTTGAGTACATAAAACATCCACGAATCCACATTTGGACAAAACCAGAAACAGGTATGCCTCTGTGCTAACAATGGCTATCTCTGGGGTTACAGGTTGTTTCTGTATTCTTGATAGTTCGTTTGTTTGTTTTAGACAGAGTCTCACGCTGTTGCCCAAGCTACAGTGCAGTGGCACAATCCCAGCTCACTGCAACCTCCAACTCCCGGGTTCAAGTGACTCTCCTGCCTCAGGCTCCTGAGTAGCTGGGATTACAAGCACATGACACCATGCCTGGCTTTTTTTTTTTTTTTTT